GTTAAACTGAACAGTATTTTACCAATTCAGAGAGTACCAATCAGAGAGTACGCTTTGCCATCCTTAGTCAAAGAGTTGAGGGCCTGTTCGGGACTGGTTAATTTTTACAGACGATTCATCCCACACAGTGCATAAAAACTGCAACCTCTTACCGACCTTGCTCTTACGGGTGACGCGCGAGTAGCATTAAAAAAGCAAAACCACATTTAGCACAGACCAAGGTGCATTCAATGTGCTTTTGAAAATCCTTCCCAACCCTCAATGATTCTCTTTTACATGACTCGCACGTTTACTAATGTATTTTTGCACATACAAACACCCACACACAGTTGTTTATCGGTTTACTCGATGTCCACCATATTTCAATTTGGCGTGGAGAGATATCGTGATTGAATTCTTGGTTCTCATTGGATATCTCATTTGGTTCTTGATTGCTTTTGGCCGCATATTTGAGGTTTTCTTTCTTATACATTTTGTAAAGTTCTCTTAACCTAGTACCGTAGAACACTGCGAATCAATCGTGTTTCTTTTGGGATTCTTATTGCATTTGGCTGCGCGTCACTGAAGTGCCATTTGGTTGACGAATACACTATACTTTTCAATCCTTTACCATCAGCCACGCTAAGGATAACGGTAGAAGCCTCAGACTTTTCGCTTGGCAACCTCTTTAATTTAACTCTTGACAACTTGCATTCACAGAAACAAAATATAGTGCATTTGGACGCTAGCTGATGGCGGCTCAAAACGCCATTAAACATTTTTGACACGCAGTTGAGGGTCGAGATTTCTCCCCCTTTTTACGGACCATGAGCCACTTACATAGGCTTTACATACTGAATCTGACCGCAACTCACCTTGACGATCCAAACACTTAGACTATATTTCTCTGTTTACGACTGACATTCAGCATGTCCAAGTTATGTTGAACTGCAGAGTGTAACCTTTATCACGTATTCACGTCAACGTGATACAGTGCCCTTTATATATCCGTGTTATGGCTGACGCCCAGGGAAACTTCATTTTTCGAAGGAGCGGTTCATTCACATTACTCAAGATGCCCGGTAATACCAATAACGAATTCCAGGGGTACAGTGTTATGGTAAATGTCTTCAGATCTGCGTCGACTTATAGTACCCTCATCATATCGTCTTTTAGTTTTCCACACCTTACATGGTTGATCACACCCAGGCATAGCACTGAGCGACGACGAGTTCACTAATTTTATCGATCGGGCTTATCGCGAGGTTTCCCAGAGAGATACCGGATTGAGAACAAAGTTGGTCACGAGCGTTGATGGTGTTATGTGAGCTACAGTAGCAAGATGTACAGAGAGCAAAGCGCACGACACAACTCACCGGAAATTATGCTATGTTTGAGGTCATATACGATCTCGTAATAGACGGCAATAAAACAAAATAGGGCCTTTACGTGAATCAAAGAAATGGCGTTAAAAATTCAGAATAGTACTGCTACACCAACACACCGTTTGGTTACCACATAATACGTCTGACCATTCACGAATTAGGACATTAGAATGTGGGCAAAAGAATGCCTGCCTCTGTACACCAACTGTAATCTGATCTACCAATTCCAATGCGGTTGCGGAGCGGAATTGCAAAATTGCAAGATTCCTAAGGTTTGCTGAAGCGATTGCTATTAATCGATGGAGGGCCCCCCTGTGTCAGCCAGAGGAACTTCATGTACGTCTGTTACTACCTTGGTGACGGTCCTTTTAACCGTCCCTCTTTTAGTTTTGTCTGTTTCACTTTATTTTGCTTTAGTTTGTTGCCATGTTAAAGCTTCAAATAAGCATTGTTATTCTACAGTATGCACTATGTTGAGATGCAACGAAATCATCCTGGACCTAAATCATGCAGTATGCAATGTGGTCTTTTCTCTTGAAATTAATCTCGAGAAACGCTTGTTTCAGTGTTAAAAGTGTCAACGATCTCAGGTACATACGCATGCAGCTGAACCCATTGGTACGTGTACTAATACTGACGCTTCCTTTATTCACGTACACAAAGATATCGCAGATTTATCACCACTGTCATACGGGTATACTCACTTGAGTGTATTAACCGCTTCATCAGATTGTCTGCAGTGTCTTAATTTTCTATCCACTTTTATATGACATGATTGTACAGCTTGTTTTAATATGCACAACAAGTAACAGCACAATACAAAATTCTGTTCGTAACCACGCACGTGTTCCCCGAGTGTTGCTGAAGCATTATATGTACATTATCAGTTATCGTCAAGCGGTCCGTTAACTGTCGCAGCCATTCATGTCAGCAATACTGCACACTATCAACCGGAGCCACATATCCGAAAAACAGGAGCAATCAACCAGTCGGACAATCCTTCTCGGAGTCCGTTCTATGTTCCGTTTATTTCATTATTATTCGTATATATGTAATATCTATTCCACTACATGTCCCATCTATGTGATCACGGTCAAAACAGTGGCTCGACATTTCACGTAACTAGGGATAGCACTTTTTTGTTGTGTTCAACTCTCTCGACTGACAGAGGAGTGCAATGCGAATTGGAATTATTAGCCTCCATAACACTATTCTTGGGTACCAAACGCATTTACACAACTGCTTACCATCCAGCATCTAGCCCAATAGGAAGATTCCTTGGAATATTTGGAGATTACCGAGTTTCTGTAAATAGGCAGTTGAAACAGCCTAGCTGATCCAGTGTTCAACTGAGAGATATTCTGCATCAAATTGGACGGTATGGAAGTCGTGAGGAGTGGTTGGGAAAGGCGTGAAAACAAAAAGTTGTTAATCCGTGTTTTCGAATAGGGAATCGTGAAAACGGAGAAACGAGAGAGAGAGGAAAGAGGAATGAAACAGGTAGGACAAGGTCACACACACTTAGGTCAACGGGTCACGAGAAGGGTTATGGGTGAATTGACGTTCAGTGTTGAGTCTGGGCCAGGATAGCTGTTGTAGGGCCCCAACAAATTGTTTTTTATCATAGAGTTCG